TCCTTATTTCATTTAAAGGGCCGGACCATATAAACAACTCTAATTGCCTATTTACAAAAGTCTATATAAACTTTATTAATAGGTTTTGTTTGTTTACTCATGAAGAATAGGGCCTCTATCTTCTCTCTCTACATCATCTATATATAAATAACCAAAGAGAATGATTTAAAAGATAATCAATAAGGGTTCAAATATAGAGAGAAAGGGCCCATAAATAAGAGTGCACCCCTTTTTCCAACCAATTAAGAGTCTTGAATATTTTGGGTTAAGCATCTTTGGATTTGAATAGTAGTGGGTTAAGTGACCTCTCAGGATGTTTAAATTCAAGAAGTTATATTTATTATTAAAGGGGTTTCAAGTTTGACTTTATTGGTTAGCTTATGAGAACCACATCATATGTTGAGATTGATATTTAGTAAGTCTAATTTGCCTCTAACTGAACTCAACTTGAGGGGTAAACTGTCAAGAGACCTTGGGTCAAGTGTCAAGAGAGTGAGGCTCTTAGAAGAGCTGTGCCTCTCAGCTTCCGTCCATGAAAGTATGAACTTGTAGGAAAATATAGTGAATTATAAGCAACCAAAAGGAATGACTCAAAAAATGATTCATAAGAATTCAAATATAAAAAGAAAGGGCCCATGAATAAAAATGCATCCTCTTTTCTAATTGGTTAAGAATCTTATGATACTTAGGGTTAAGCATCATTGAGTTTGAATAATGCTGAAATGCACATGTAAAGACCAGTTTCTCAACTAGTTTAGGTAGATATTTTAAAAAGGGTTTAATAATACCAACCTCCTGCCATCATAGCAATAAAGAAAAAATATTTAAAAGGACTTGCCGACATGTAACTTTTGATACCTATAATCACATTTGCAACACTCTCTTCTACTTAAAAAATATTGACATCCTTATCAATACATACTCTAGTCTAGACCACCACCAAGGAAACAACCTAAAAAAAAGTTAACAGTGTTCACTCTTTGTGAAAAATGCACCAACTTAAATGAGTTAACTTTATCTAACGCAAATACACTATTATTCGTATACCTAATATTTGGGCTTTATCGACAAGAAAATGACCAACAAAGTTAGCCACTGTTGTTGCTCTAGGTGTCACTCAACTTACAAAAATGATATTCCCTTATCATAATGTAAGCTGTTGAATATGGACTTCCTAGAAGGTCATCTAACATAAAAATGGAATTTCTAAGTGCTATTAGTCAAACATACTTGATATGATTAGAAAAACTCATTCATTGATTTGCACTTGTTAATGTTGGGAACCCTTATGATATTGAGTTTGGTCCCTCAATATTTATTAGGTGATAACTTAGCATGTTTGCCAAGACACCCTTGCTATCATTGCTTCATGTATTGGTTTTGTTTGGTCCCATTGACTATTTATGGAAACTATTTAGATTTGCTAGTTTTGTATTTTACAAAATTTAGAGATTTTTCTGAACACAATAGTGTTGTTCCCACATCTAAATTCACAATTTAGCACTATTTCATATTTAATAAATTTTTGTAGGGATAGTGGGTAGATATGATTTGGCCGATTAACCTAAGGTATAGTCTAACTTCTGCTTGCATGTGTGTCTTTGTTTTGTGTGTAACTTGGGTCTAAACCTAAGTTCTATATCATGTTAGCTAGTGGAGTACTCATATCCTTGTGTTTTGGTATGTTGAAATAACACCTAACTTTATTTTACGTATTGGTTCTAGCATTAGAATGTTAGAAACTTTAAGATTATTCCAACATTGCTCCATGCTCCTATCCTTTTGCTCAAAGGTTGGTGAAGACATGTTGTAAGATAACTTAGGAGTTGTTAGTTCAATAGAATGACTAATTAAACAAAGCTATATAGAAGGCTAAAGATGACATAAAGAAAGTGTTTTCGAGTTTTGGTTATGACTTGGATGACATTCTTAAGAAAAGGAAGAATTGAGTTCTATAACCATATTACTATATGATTTAAACCATTGTTCTATTTTTAATCTCTTGTTTCCATAACTATATTGTTATTTGAGAAAACTATATTGCTTTTGGCCATTTGTTACAACATTGGTATTGCCATTTGTATAACTTTTCTCCATGGTTATATCACCTTAGACTCCCTTATATGAGGCTTATTTAACTTTTTAAAGACTGATATCTATAGTTAGTTCATAAGAGGGGAGAATGATATAAACTATAGGAATATTTTAAGAATACTCTATGGTCTTAGGGATTTAGGGCTCTAGAAGGCACTTGAACCAAAGCCAAAGTCAAACTTATGGAATACTTTAGATTATAGCTATATGTCACTATAAATGGAGACATATCAATAATTGATTGTTAAGTGCTATTATAAACAAATTAAAGCAAAAGACAAAGGCCTATCAATACCCATTCCTGAGTCTTATCAAAGATAAATCCTAATAAACAACTATCTAATGTATTGACTCTTAATGAAGCTCATCAAATCCAAAATATCAAATCCCTATGGAATATATCAACTTCTCAAATGAATCCATTATTGATATGGATGACAAAACTAGTGTAAGCTCTTGAGTTTTTTAAATTTTTTGGGAGGTCACCCAACTCAATATTATTCAAACTTAAGGACACTTAACCTTAATTATCCTTCAATTGAAAAAAATATACACTTTTATTCATAGGCCCTTTTCTTTATATTTGAACCTTAATGGATCATCTCCCAAAGTAATTCCCTTTGGTTATTTACAATTAAGAAATATTTTGAACTTATGATTTGAAGTGATCAATAAGAATTATGCACTCTAAGTATTTATATGTATGGAAGGGGGAGAGATTGTATTAGTCATAAATAAAAATATTAGCATAAACTATTAGATTAAAGAATATATTTTGATATTTTAAGTATAAAGAAAACAAAAAATAAACTACTATTATGAGGTCTTTGGTATTACATCAATAAATTAATCTAAACTTGATTCCATGTGCTTGACTTTCAGTCTTGGCTTGAGGATAAATCACCACAACTTTTTCTCATGAAACATCAAATTGGCAATATAAACAACATCATTGTGTTCTAGCCACACAAACACTCATGTTTCTAGCTTCGTACTTGCTTGTTAAGTTGTGGAAGTTGGTGGTTCAAAAAGCAATAATTCACAAAGAATTGAAAAGCACGGTAACTTTAGTTAATCTTGGAAAATGGTTTATTATTCTAAACATTAGATATAGAGCTATGCAAGCATATCCTAGGCATATTCACCTTTTTAGCAAACCAAAAACCTATCTTGACGTGTAGAAATAAGAAAAATATTTTTAAAGATTGTAATGATAGATGTAACTGTGATTAGAAATAATACGAAATATAAAAAGAATAATATTCAAATGAATGGAGTAAAGAGAGTTTTACTTTTTTATAGAAAAACTTTATTACGAAGACCTAGCTCGAAGAGTAGGGTTTTACCTTAGCGAATCAGATGCAGCGGCGACGAAGTCCCTACGAGAGCCCTCCGCCATCGTCCCGGCGGAGCGGTGGCAGCCGGCGCCGCAGCTCAAGCCCGCGAGGAGGCCGCGGGGAGCCGCCGACAAGCCTGCTGGTCCGAAATATCTCGCGTGACACGAGGTACAAATCCTCTTTTGTGGGCAGTGGTTTGATTCTTTGCCATTCCAGGGCGGATGATCTGAGAGGCCCATTCGAGCGCTATGGAGCTGTCAAGGATGTGTATCTTCCCAAGGACTTCTACTCCGGGTAAGCGCTTGGGGCGTGATGCTTGGGTGTGTTTTTCTTTTCTTTGCTTGTTTAGACTAAAGTAGAAAAAGAAAAAGTTCACATTTGCTGAGACTTTAGTGTTGAATGAAGGGCCGTGAGAAGATCTCAAGATGAGAAGCAAGAGAAGGTCAGACTTGAAGATGGTCTTTGTAGCTAAGCTGTAGTTCTTGGGGAGATAGTGGCGTTCTTCTTTAGCATCTTTTTGAAGTTCAGTGGTGAAGACTACCAAGTCGAGATAGATTCTAAAAGACCCTGGCCTGGCAGCTGTTTGGTTCCACTCGTCTTAGAAGTTGCCAAGTGAAATGTGTAACTCGCACCGCATCTTGCAGAGAGCCTCGGGGATTCGGCTTTGTACAGTTCATCGATCCTCGCGATGCCATTGAAGCGCAGTACAAGATGAATCACCAGCTCATCAGGGGCCGTGAAGTTTCAGTGGTTTTTGCCGAAGAAACCCGGAAGAAGCCAGCAGAGATGAGAATGAAGGAAACGTCAAGGTATTCTTTTTCCCGTCAAGTCATTCCAAGACTTCTCTCAAGTGGATCAGACTGAGCGTTGTTCTTGTTATGTATAGGGACAGGCCAAGCTCAAGGCGGTCCCCTCGAAGAGGTTCTATTTTCTTTTTCTGGACATCTTGTTAGCTTGTAGCTTGCAGGTCGCTCGCGATCTCGTTCGCGGTCACCGAGGCATCCGTCGGCTTCACCTAGACGTCGTCGTCATTCCAGGTAATCTAAGTCTAATTTATCTTCTGTTTTCCATCGTGTTTGGCAGGTCATATTCCCCATCCGAGAGACGAGGCTACGATAGACAGGATAGACAGTACTATTCCCCTAGGCCGCGTGATTCCTACAAAGGATCTCCTCCCTCGGGCTACAACAGAAGAGGTCTTTAAATTTGAGGTGTTCGAGTCACAGTTTCTACGGGAGCTTACTTCGTCTTCTTTTGGATGCAGATCATTTTCCTCCGGTTTCTAGCTATCCGCACTTCATGCATCCAGGGATGGGTCGCTTTGACATGTTTGGGGCGCACCATCCTGGGGTGATTCCTCCGTATCCGCCGTATCACCACCCAGGCGCTAACAGGGTCTGGGATATGTAAAAAGTTCTTCCTACCTCAATTGTTGAACTGTTTTTACACTATTTAATTCAGTTGTCGTTGCAGAGAGACAATGTTTATAGAAAAAGTATCATTCACCCCGTTTCAGATATTCGTACTCACTTTACGTGGATCAACACAAGCACTGAAACTAAATAAGGTGACCTTTCAACTTGGCTAACTCATGCGACGCTTCTTTGTTGCAGCTTTTCCACAACCACAGCAGCATCAGCAACTGGGGATGACCACTCGGGCAAAAGGGCCTTGATGGTTCACAGCTGTTTCATACAGAGTAAGGTGAGATCTCAAAGTTCAAGATTCTGCACAAAGTCTATAAAGTTTCTGGAGGACAGTTGGGGCATTTGTCTTAACTAGAAGTCTAGACCTCTTGCATTTGACAGTAGCTGCTTTTTGTAGGATCGCAGTTGGGCTGAAGAAGAGACGATGGCTCCATACCTGTGCATCGTCTCATTTCTTCTCTTTTCTTTTAGCTCGGCACTGGCTAGCAACTACGATGTATCGGCAGTTTTTGTTTTCGGGGACTCTTTAGTGGATTCAGGGAACAACAACAACCTCCAATCGTTGGCCAAGGCCAATTTTCTACCTTACGGCAGAGACTTCGACACGCATAAGCCAACAGGTCGATTTGCAAATGGAAGGCTGGTCCCAGACTTCATTGGTGAGTTTCTCTGTCACTGTTGTTTGCCGCTTATATGTTTTCTCGAGCTTTCAGCATCATTCCTTGGACTTCCGTTCCCGGAGACGTATCTCTCGGCGGGAGACAACATCGACCACGGGCTGAATTTTGCATCATCTGGAGCGGGCCTGCTTCCAGCCTCTGGGAATGTGTTTGTAAGTGAGCTCTTGTTGTGTTACTGGTTTGTTCTTGTCTCAATCGTCAATTACCTCCAGGGAGAACACATTCCGCTTCCAAAGCAGGTTGCGAGCTTCAAGGAAGTCCATGCAAGGCTTGTGAAGAAACTCGGCCCGGAATCGGCCTCCCGCATGGTCTCCAAAGCCATTTACTACATCACAGTTGGCAGCAACGATCTGGTTAACAATTACTACCTCCTCCCCGGGGCTCCGCTGAGAACGCAATCGCCTCAAGAGTTCCAAGACTCCCTCATCGTAGTTTTCAGGGAGCAAATCAAGGTAGATTCAAAAAAAATTGTCCAGCACTGAAAGTCGTGATTCTCACTTCCAGACATTATATGGTGAAGGAGCGAGGAGATTTGTGATTGCATCACTCACGGCACTCGGCTGTAGTCCCATCAATCTTCTCAAATACCTCATCAAGAAGCCAGGCGAGTGTGCTGCGGAGCCAAACGATGCAGCAAAGTTGTACAACAAGGCCGTGGAATCCATGCTCAGCGAGCTGAGAGAAAGCTTGCCAGGAATCAAGCTCCTCCACGGCAATTGCTACGACATGGTCTACAAGGCGGCCTTGAATCCGCTTGCAAATGGTACGTGACAAAGTTTTCGTTTCTTTTTTTTGGTTTTCGCTCCTTGAAAGTTTCGAGATCACAGGATTCGACGAAGGTGATAAGGCATGCTGCAGTGGAATCGGCAAGAACGGGGCCATTGTTTTCTGCCTCCCAGACGTTCCCTCGTGCAAAGACCCCTCGAGGTATGTCTACTGGGACGAGTTCCACCCGAGCAGCAGAGTCTACGAGATCCTGGCTCGAAATTTTTGGAGCGGTGGCAAGGACGAGATTTATCCCATGAACATCCAGCAAATCCTTTGAGGCTGCGACGTTGTTCCAGCGATATTGTTCCAGCGATTCAAGGCAAAAAAATAAGATCAAGGAATAAATGTTTCCACAGCCAGATCCATCCACCAGACGTCGAAAGTTTTAATGCTGCCTGGGTTTGGTGGACGAAGTCGACCATCTTCCTAACGGAAGCCAAAGCTGCCATTATTTTCTTCTCTTTCGCAGCATTTAGTTCTAGCACAGTGCTTGCTTGAAATTTTTGTCCTCCTTGTCAGTCTCTAGCGAAAATCAAGTTGTTCTTGAGCTTCTTTGTAGCTTTTTCTCTTTTTGGGTCGCTTCCATCTACACGCTTTTCCATAGCCCGGCATTTATATGAGCGCTCCAAGCATAAAAAAGATGGTCTCGAATCGGAGCGAGTGAATGTTTGGTGAATGGGTTTTTAGCTCCTCCATAGAGTTTTACAAAATGGTCAGGCTAGAAGTTTCTATGGCTTTGATCGCCACCATGGTTATAGTGCTATCACTGGTAACATCTGAAGCTCAAGCCAAAGTTCCAGCGTTGTTCGTTTTTGGAGACTCCATGGTGGATGCTGGAAACAACAATGCTCTAATCACTCTGGCACAAGCAAACTTCCCCCCCTATGGCAAGGACTTTGATCAGAGCCAGCGTCCAACTGGAAGATTTGCTAATGGACGGCTTGTTCCAGACTTCTTGGGTAATGTTTTTTGTGATCTTCCAAAAGTTTTGTCATTGATCTAACTTATAAAGAGCGCTCGTTTGCTTTTGATTTGGTGATATCCAGCATCGCGCTTGGGACTTGATCTAGCTCCAGCATACGTTTCTGCGAATGACAATGTTTTGCAGGGTGTAAACTTCGCATCCGCTGGATCTGGATTGCTCGAGTCAACAGGCCTCGTCTTTGTAAGAGTTTCATAAGAACTTCTTTTATCATTTACCATTGAATTCATTGTCCAAGCAGGGCCAGCATTTCTCTCTTCCAGCCCAAGTCGATCACTTCCAAAACGTTCTGGACAACAACATCACCGCCAAGCTTGGATCCAAGCGAGCCCGGGAGCTCTCGTCCCAAGCGATTTACTACATCACCGTGGGCAGCAATGATCTTGTCAACAACTATTACCTCCTCCCGGCCTCGCCCCTGGCCGTCCGATACACTCCCGAGCGCTTTCAATCTCTCCTCCTCGCCGAGTACCACAAGCAACTCCAGAGGCTGCATGGATCCGGCGGCCGCAAGTTCGTCCTTGCTTCTCTCACGGCTCTGGGTTGTAGTCCCATCAACTTGCTGCGATACAACGTTGCCAAGAAGGGCAAGTGCGTGGATTTCCTTAACGACGCCGCCGCTCGATTCAATGCGGATCTCAAGGCCAGCGTCGTAAAGTGGAGCTCATCTCTTCCCGGGTCGCACATTGTCTTTGCAAACTCGTTCGACTACGTTCTTGATCTTGTCCGGAACCCGGCCGCTCACGGTAAACCATTTTTCTTCTTCTTGGCAAGCTTTAGAAAAAGATGACATGTTGATCTTCAGGATACAAGGTTGGTGACCAAGCTTGCTGCAGCGGAATCGGCAAGAATGGTGCCATCGTTTTCTGCCTGAGAAACGTCACCACCTGCGATGACACCTCGAGTTATGTGTACTGGGACGAGTTTCATCCGAGCTCAAGAGTCTATGGCGAGTTGGCGGACAGATTCTGGGAAGGATCTGTGCAAGACAGTTACCCCATTAACGTGAAACAGCTCTCCACTCTTTGAACTCTTTGAGACTAAGAAAGAGATTACCTTTTTAATATATAAAACTTATCTAAAGGGTTTAGGGCTTTGTGACCGCTCATGACAATTTGGAGGGAAGTCGAGAGTGGCAAAGTTGTGGAGCTGCCAGCATTGAAGAAGCTTTATCGAGTGGTTATGGAGCTCGGGAGTGGAGGGCAAGGCACGGTTCACCTGGTCATGGGGAGCAAGCTCTTAGCTGCAAAGTCACTACCAGAGGCGGCGCAGAGGGAGCTCCGGGTCATGCTCAAGCTAGCCGGCTGCCAAGGGACAATACAGCTCTACGACGTGGTGCTTGAGGAGGATCGCAAGTTCAAAGGTGGCCGATGGTGGGGAACCCTAATTTTGGAGCTAGGCTCATGCACGCTGAGCGAGAGGCTTCATAAAGCTGGCGGGAAGATGGAGGAGCAAGAGGCAGCGTTTGTGGTCAAGAGCCTGGCTGAGGCACTAGAACGGGTGCACTCGCTCGGAGTGGTGCACAGGGACGTGAAGCTGGACAACGTTTTGCTCACCAGGCTGTTGCCACCTTATGAGGTGAAGCTGGCTGACTTTGGGCTCGCCACAGACGTGGCTGAGGACATGCACGAGAACTGTGGCACCAATGGATATATATCCCCGGATGTGCTCAGGGCTGGCAAGGATGGCTGGCCGTTTTACTACACCAAAGCTGTGGACTTGTGGGGGCTAGGGTTGATTGCGTACGAGCTTGTCACTGGGTGGGGGGTGTTCTCTAATGTTTTTGATGTGGAATGCTTTCTCAAAAGTGCTGGGGATGCAGAGGTGGAACGGGCATTGAAGTGGGGCGGGGGTGTGTCCAAAGAGGCGAGGGAGCTCATCTTGGGAATGTTGAAGGTCAATCCAGAGCAAAGGCTAACGGTGGAGGAGGTAATCCGTCACCCGTGGGTCGTGGAGAATACTGACAGAACTGGTCCAGTTGAAAAGAAGCAAAGAACTTTGTAACAGAACATACACTATATGTAGTACTACAAATTTTGTATATGAGACACGAAAAAATGGAATGAAAACCAGAATTCGTTATAAAACCGAAAACAAATTCTTTTTTGCAGGATATGATTAGCACATGGAATTAGACAACATCAACCTAGGAGGATGTGAGCATATACAAGTGAAATTCTATGTAAAATTCGCTTAGAACCAGGGATGCCAAGTAGGATCCATCATACACAAGTTCTTTGGCCGCAACGCTGCTTCCACAAGCTCTGCCACTGCTGCTTGCACAGACACAGGTGGCTCGCTGGAATTCTCGTCCTGGGAAACAAAACAAACCGCTGTGAGCTTCCACAAACACAAGGACTGCTCTCGCTCACTTACCTCTTCGGGGTATGTTTGTGGAGCGATGCCCTTGACGCGAGCGAGCACCTGGTCCACGTTTGCGGTCACCTTCTGCTTGAGCTCCGTGGGGGAGATGCCACCCACAGCAGCGTTGGGCATTCCCGGTGGACGGCGCCACGACCAGGAAATAAGTTCGTCCCTGAAGAACATCGCCAGGTGGTTTTGAAGGTGTTGGTTCTGCAGCGATACAAAAGCTCATCAGTTGGAATGAAAAACGAAAGAGGCTGCTTCTCTGCTGACCTTGGGTGCTGTCACCGACTGTGCTGCCGCACACATTGCGGACACGAAAAGGCCCTCGACTCCAAAGGGAGTAAAGAAAGTCTGCAGGTTGCGAGTGAGCCTGAATGGAACCGGCTCAGCAAACTCGATCATGCCATTGATGTCGTAGGCTGTAAGGTATAAACAACTCAGAAGAGGATCCAGAAGAGCAAGAGAGCATACCGGGATGGAAGTCATTCTGGAAAACCTTGCCCGTGTTCTTTGCAAATAGGATCTTGTTTGGAGACCGGCCACCTATTTGCAGCATGTAGGACATGAAGCCAGACAAGGCCAACTGGACAGCAAACTGCTTCTTGAACGTCCACAGATGGTTGGAGCTCGGAAGTGTCTTGTACATAAACTGCGAGAAGACGTTCTCGTTGACAAGCGAGGTGATGATCTCATTGTACGTGTTTAGCCGAAGCTCCAGCACGGCTTCTGGGCTCATCTGTCCTGTGATGGTCTGGTTCAAGTGCTCCTTGAAATGCGTGATAGGAACATCGGCTTCGCGTCCATATCTCGCACAGTTGATCTCATACACCTCGCCAAAGGTGCTGTACATAAGATCCTCCTCCACCAATCGGACCTGCTGAAGAATCTTAGTTTAGCGATAAAAATATGGAGAGGGATTGAAAACATACCTGAGGCCAAACAGGGACGATGATGGGCGTATGGAATGCCAGATGCCTGCGCCTTGACTCTTTGTGCTTGTCAAAGAGTCGATTTAAAACCCTGAATAGCTGCACCATCCGCTCGTCGCTTCTCGCGCTCGGGGTCAGAGACGTCTGCACTAGGAAATGTCGCTGAGAGCCGTCACTTCCGATCATAGTTAGCCTTCGGTGACTGCTTCCATGTCTACGAACAATCGGAACGTCCGCTCCAATCCTGTCTAGCTTCACTGTATGATCAGGTGCTACTTCCTGCAGGTTAAAGAAGCCAAATTATCAGTAGAAAAACATACACAAGCTCTGCTAGCTTACCTTATCGTTGAAATACTGTCCTGGAACTTCAATGTCCAAGACGTGGAACTCTCTAAGTTGTCTGCTCTCTTCCTCAAGCTTCAATACCGCTGGAAGTCTATCCTCAACATTGGACTGGAGGACACTCTTCCAATGCTTCAAGCGGTCAGTCAGCTCGGCTAGAGTGGCCGGAAATGTTCCTGTGCTTTCTGGATCAAGGTCGCGTTCAAAACCTCTTTTGTACTCGTTGACGAAGTCCGTGTGCTTTGCCACGGTATCAGACGAAAAGCAAGCTTTGCAAACGCCAGCAAGCTCTTTCTTCAGGGACGGAGGGACTTCAGAGGTGGTCGCAGTGGGAAATTTGTAGCAGCGATGAAGCAAGGCGTGAACAACTGCTAGCAATCTTTCCTCTGGCAAAGGAACAAAACGTGCTCCGACTTCGGTTAACATAACCTGGAAACAACGATGCCGGTGACAAATGAAGCAGAGTAAATATCATGTACCTCCATCTCCGCCGCGAGATTGTTGTGTTTTAGCCTCAGCATGTCCATGATCTCCCTTGCAGCTTCAAATGAGCTGACAGCCGTGGCCCAGTGGCTTCGACGTAGCATGGCAAGCTGGTCAGCGGCGTTTGTTGACTGTGAAGTATCTGCAGACGCAGTTGCATTACCGTCGGACCCTCCAGCTTCTTGCGGTGTCGTATCAGCACTTCCATTTTGAGGTTGCGGCGCGGGGGTCTGCGAGCCTTGGGGGCCTTCAGAATTAGTAGTAGTACCAGACGCGTCCGGATTAGCAGCAACCGCAGCTACAGCAGCTTGAGCACGTGTTTGTGACCCTTTCACAGCATCCGACTTCGTCGCAATGTCTCTACGTTCCAAGAGATGAGTCCGAAGCCAATAGTACAAGGCCTGCAATCCGAAAGGGCATACAACAATAAGTTCCCAAATAATCGAAGGGCAATTACTAAACTCACCTGCGGAAAAAGTGCGACCAGCTTCGACAGAACATTCTTGCAATGCGATGCCTCGGGTCTCTCCAGAGAAAGTAGAAGCTGAGGTATCCACGGAATCCAGACCCAGTGAGTTATCTGGTCCCCGTACTTTTCGAATGCTTTACCGACGGTTCCATTTTGGTTATCGAAGCTCAGCAGATAAAGCACCCTGGCAAGATAGCTCCGACCATACGAGCTTCCATACTTGATACCTTGCAAGAAACAGCTCACTGCGTACTCCAGCCACAAGTCTTCGCCGGTTTCTTTGTAAACCTGCAAACGGATTTCTCAGTGAGCTGGGCCCTAGCACAAAATCACGCTCCTAACTAACCTGATCGCAATGATTTCCCCAGCTTATCCATCCCTTTGGAAGATGCTTGAACAAAGAAATGGCCGTAGAGAAAACCTGGTTGGCGGTCTCACTGTCATTCATCTTCTGCAAAAACTCTCCTTTCAAGCGGAAGATTTCAGCCTTGTGTTGATTCGGAAAATACTCCAAATTCGTTGTGTTGATCAGATTAAGTCCAGTGATTAGTTCGCCTTTCATGTCAAGGTATGCCTTCGCTTGTTCTCTTATTTTAACGAACGCTTCCTGCATGAGAAGATGCCATACTATAAATACTACAACAGCAATAAGAAAAATACCGACCTGAACTTCCATAGTAAGGAAGCCGTACATTTTGTTCAAAACAGTAACGCAGACTTCGTGCAAACCTTGTTTCCGAGCAACGTATGCAAGTTTGTTGACGCTCCAAGCTTTGTCTCTGAAACCAAGCTGGTGTAACTGCGGATTTGTCTCTTGCAGCGCCTTGAACGCGTTGATCACAAGATTGTACATGTGATTCCTCCATATCATCAAATCATTCCAGACCGTTAACTCGTCCCAATCGTTCGGAATCCTGAGCCTCCAAGTTTCTAAAATGTCTTTAAGATCCGCATACATGCCTGCACCTCCTTGCAGCTGTCCGGACCCTGCCGGTTGTTGCTTGTTTGCGTTTCCCAGTTCTAGTAGTATTCTTGTTGATTCCTGGAGCTCGACCAGTTGCTGAAACTGCTGTAATAGTGGAACGTGCGACTGAACTGACATCTCAGGTAATTGCCACCAGTTCTGGAGTGCAAGATCCACACCCTGAACGACTCTCATATCCGCCTCAGTCACACCGTTCATGCTGCCTTCATGAAGTGCGACATAAGTTTGAACCATCCGCAGCTTAGGTGTTTCTTCCACCTGCGCCTTCGGCAAAACGTCTTTAAGATGCGCCCAATCTGGAGACTTCCAAAGGCAGTCGAGGAGAATCTCGTAGTTCTCAACACTTTTACCAAAGTCTGCGAGGATGTCCCACTGATTAAGTCTCCGAGCGCAGGATATCCACTGCTCCTCCCAGAGACACATCTCAGCTTTGGAGACGGAATTGCTGTAAGATCCCTGAGTTGCCTTGCTCATAGCCTGGTAAAAGAGATCCTGTGCCCTCTGCCACAACCCATGCTGAACTAGAGACAATCCCGCTTTGGTGTCGTTGGTAATCGTCCGCCTTTTCCACAAGCCATAACGAACGTCTTCTTCGTCGAGCATTCTGTAGAGTTCAGCCAAAGCGTCGAAGCAGCGAGATTCTGTCGGGAACAACATGACGTGACTCTCGAGCAAAGATATCGCAATATGCCACGCGTTGTACGTCTTTCCCAAGAATCTGATAAGCTCGCTTGGAATCTTTGGCTGCGGTTGACTCAAAGACAGCCCTTCCAACAGTGCCTGTATCACGTTTGGCCTCTTATCCAGCTGCTTGCTATGGTAGTCTTTGGAGAGAAAAGTAATCATAGGCTTTGCTAGCATCACTTGCTCGTCCTTCAGCAAGGTGGCCCAGACTATCGGGAAGACCAGAACCCACATATGATACGCCACATGTGAATCGGTATTTGCAAGTTCCCGTAAAGAGACAATAAGATCCTCCACCTAAAACCATAGACAAGTAAGATGTCGACGAAAACTTAGAAATTCATATCAAACCTGAAGTTTATTCTCCGTCAAAAACTTTGCATGCTTGTTCACGATGCCTATAAAAGAGAGAGGCGCTTCATCTGGTGTGTCAGCCTGTTGCTGCATTCCAGGCCTGTCGGGAACTCCTCCGGACGGCATAAGCGGAGGTACTTGTGCGGCATTGGGAGCAAGCGTGATTGGATCGTTCTCCACAAGAATAGCCAGTAGAAGGTCCAAGCCTTGCTTTAGCCAGAACACGTCGCTTAATGCTTCCCATTCCTGATTCTGAATAATGTACTGCAAGCGTGTGAAAAGCGTCTTCGCAATAGATTCGTGGTAGAGTAAGAAAAATTTCTGCCGCATGTCCGGATCTCTGGCCCTTAGTCCCAATAAAAACTGCTTCTCAACTTTTACGAAAATCTCGTGCCTCACAGACAGTGGATACCTGCACAAATTGTATGTTAGTTAGCATTTTTATCAAACACGGCAAGGAAACCTCTTACTTGGATGCGTCCGAACATAACCGATATAGCAACGCTAAAAACTTCGAATCCCATTCGTCTAAAGCAGAACCAGTCATATTTTTCTCGGCTTGAGCAAGACGCTGTAGGAAAGTCAGGACATCCTTCGTGTTCAACACCCCCACGGACGCACCGGAACCAGAGGCTCGAAAGTCGTTCTCTATCCACTCAATAATAACGTCGAGGATGGTAAGAAGTACGCTTGGATCCGTTCCTTTCTCAGACAGAATCATATGAATCGTCTGTGAGCAAAGTCGTTTGCACTCAGGTACTAGCAGAACTCTGCCACTGATAAGCTTTAAAAGAGAGCGAACGTTGCTGACGTTCATGCCTGCCGCAGCCTCTTGATCGACTCGATGACCCTGTAAGATCTGTTTAGAAAACATAGAAAATTTAATCAATTTCAACCTGTCGGGCAAGTGCACCCGAGCTGTTGGTCATGTCCCGTGCGAGACGCTGAAACACGCGAACTATGTGAGTCAAGTAGCGGTCCAAGTAACTTCGGTTTCCTTCACTGAGCGTATTGAGCAATGCCAATAAGAAACTGATAGTAACGTTTGCAGAGCGAGGTTCAAGAGTAGACGGGGTCGCAGTTACAGCTTGTAAGTGCTTTTGTAACAGCTCTTCCACCTTCTGATGCAGAAGCCTTACATCTTGTGGGTTACTGAGGGAATCAGAGGGGAAGGCGTTGAACACCAGCTTCAAAACATTACAGATTGACCTTCCAACATCAGCGAGTTTGCTATTGAAGGACGGATCCAAAACCTTCAAAATTTTATACGTTAGAGCGTAAAGGAGCAACGCGATATGTCTTACTTGAATGATCTGTTGTACGTTGTTCCGAATAAAAAGTTGAGGCTGCTTTTCCAAGACTTTACTCATCACATCAAGTCCTTGCACAAGAGCGGTAGACGGATCCTTTGTGGTCTGAGGTAAAGCGCTGCTCAGTAACTTCTCCAGGTAGTTAAACTTCACATTTGCACCAGGCCACACTTCCAGTGCTTGCGTAAGGAGGTCCAATGCTTGCTTATACATCGCTGCCATTTCCTTATCCTTCGGATCCATCACCAGCGACACCTGGTAGATACAAAGAAGGCTAAGAACCAAGCAATAGAATGCAGCTGGTTACCCTTATCAAGAAGTTGATGATCATTTCTTCCATTGCAGCGTTCGGCTTAAACTCCTCATCCGGCTGACCCATTGAATTTGGCGTGCCAACGTTCGGTATTGAAGGAGTACTTGATCCCAGACCAGGTGACATCCCAGAAAGTGATGGCTCACTCTTTACTCTCTTGGTCTCGTCCGAAGACAGTAGTTCCGGTGGTCTCTTTGAGCCAACTCCTACGTCCGTAGCTGCTAACGAGAATGACGCACCATCTGTAGATAAAGGTTGATCTCCTTCCATAACCGCCTTTGCTTCTCCCTGCCGTCGTTTTTCCCATGATACCACGAGTCCAGCAAGGTCAATAGCCAGCCTGCGGTTTTCCATCGGAAGATTTCCAGGGAGCCCAAGGCGGCTCAGGGAGTTCACCATCTGAGGTACAAACTGCGCCCGGCAAGTGTAGAACAGGTCCGAGTGTCGAACTATTAGCTGGAAGATGTGAATAAGATTTGGTACCGAGTGGCCTTCCTCAACAAGAATCTTCTTAGTGTAACGTATCCATATAGGTATCTTCTGTTCACCCAAGGGAAGTCTGCGAGGAAGAGCTGGCATCAAAATATCAAGCGCCTGTCTTGCCAAATTTCTGTTCTCCGGTTGGCAGGTCCGCAATAGTGCAACAAAAACCTGAATAGACAGAGTTCAAACGATGCATAATCTTACAATCTTGTGATGTACCTGAAGGATAATCTTTTCTGGAGCCTGATATGCATCGAGAAAACGGCAAACATTCACAAAAGCCCATTGCTTGCTTGCACTGTCTTCGCGCTTTAAATGATTCCAGCCAAACTTGATAAGTTCCTTACGATGTGTCACGAGTTCGTGGGGGAGATACTTCAGCAACAACGTCGCCAGCTGCAGGAGTTCTATCCTAAGAGGCTCATCGTATTCAGCGCTGACCTGAAATGCGATTCCCACTGACATTAGTGCTTTCACACAGAACAAGTACCTCTTCGGGAGGATCCAACAGCTTGTCCACAATAGTCTTGATGATAGGCTGGTCGACAACGTCGGCACTTTGATTGTTTTGAAACGAATGAGTTAGCATGGGAAGAATAAGCATTTGCATGGCGACCACCAAGGACTCTTGCTTCAACGACTTCGACTGGAATATTTGAAGAAAACGTTGCAGAACAGCTTTTTTCTCCTGGGGTGTATATCCTTCACCGACCTGATGAAAAGAATTTGAGAAGAACATATCAAGTTAAAAACCTCACCTCGATCATGTAGAATTCTTTCAAGAAGGTATAATCAACACGAGTTCGGACCAAAAATATGGACAGCATTTCGAAAAGAATATCAACCTCCGCTTTATCGTGTCTCACATAATTCAGAAAGCATTTGACTAGCCGCTTGCTCTCCTTCACCTACAACGTACGTGAGTTAGCAGTATAGATGCAAAGAAAAGCTACTCACTTGCACCAGAGTCAAATTTAGCTCGTTCTTTAGTCGTTCCTGCCTTGCGGGCGATTGCCACAGCCGAACTAAGGCTTCAAACACGGTCTGATTTTCGTGCAGCCAGTCCGGTATGAGCTTGACCAAAGTAGCTACCAAGGCAACACCTTGAAACAGGGACTCTGACGTCGTAGAAGGCGGCGGAGGTACCGATCCGTCAGCACCACTAGCTGTTGAACCTGGATCTGCTTCTTCGGTTGATGGTTGAACTACAGTAAAAGCACACTCGATGATCTTGCCCGGTGACTTCGCCAACTCCTCACGAAGGGGTTGCCCCTCATCTGACTTTATAACGTCGGAAAATCTGACAAACAAGTATCAGCGAGGACACGAATATCACGACAACCTTACCTTCTAAAATAAGCTGGCTCCGAAAGGCGTGCCAGAAAGTAATCTACTGATTCTGTCGCATAGCGGTTCAAAAACCTTGTGATAGGTAGCCTGTATGGGCTATTCAACTCACTGTACACTTGCCCTGGAGGGAATGCCGCCTCCAAATGTATGGTTAGTTGAAAAAGCTCATCAAGAAACTTGTTGGCGGCCGGAGGAAGCAGATGAAACAGCTCTATTATGGCTGAAACACACGAGGAAAGTTAGAACTTCCACAACACCGATATAAAGACATACCCGCAGCGACCTTCGCTTCCTCCCCGGGCTTCCAGGACTTTACTGTTCCAGCAAGCTTTTCCGGCTCTAGCCACTTCTTCAGGTGTTCCATGAGTTTACCACCGAGTGTCACGTTGAACCAATTAGAAAGCAGCTCCAACAGTCGAGCAAGCCCTTGAAGCAAGGGAATCGTCAGATGCTTATACGATGCCAGATTCACAAGAATCGGTCGCAGGCTACTTTGCAAGAGCTCCTTTGGCAGTTTTTGTTGCTGAATAACCTGAAATATTACAAAATGTCATGAATACGATGCGAAGAGAGAGAAGACGTATTACCTGACGAAGACCTTCCTTGGCTACTGCAACTATCTCTGGTGTTCTACAGGTCAGGGATTTGAAGAACATAGCTATGATCCGTGACCGCAGCTCATTATGAGCTGCAGTTTTGAAATCCGCCCAGGCCATAGCAGTGCATAGCAACTCAATGCAAACTGTTCGAAGCTTGGTCAGGGTGTTTGCCATTTTCGGACTCATGAACTTTCCAATCAGTACAGCTTCGTCAGCTTCCGCAATTTGAAGAGCGTCCGTCAAGAGTGTGACAAGTTCCGGAGTCATTTTAAGAAGAGGCGGCCGCAAGGCCAGGCAGAAGTTTAAAGCCATCACAGTTCCGACCTGCAAAACGGGTGTCTATAAGAGAATTCACAGAGACACGTCCTCTGAGTACCTGTTGTTCAACGTGCTTTGTGCGAAGAGGTCGAGAAATCAGAGGTTGAAGCAGTGGCTGATGTAGCGGTTCAAGCAGCTCCGAAACTTCACTCCCTGTCCTGCTGGCCAGAAGTGCAAGGCACTGCTGGACACTCTTTCGGACAGTATGTGTCGCGTTGGGATTAAAGAGTTCCGCGGCCAGGACGTCCACAACACCCTGAAAGCTTTGACGCCGAGGCTCATTGTTTGCCTCGTCTACGTTGTTCACCACCCGCAGCACCTGCGTCAGCACTTGGCTTACTTCATCCTGTTCCTTACTTGCATGCTGCGGTAGCTTCTTTAGTACGTACACCAGAGCACGCACTGCACGAACTTGGAAGATGCAAAGAGTGTCGACTGTAACCTTTCCCACCAAAGCACCAAGTCCCATTACCCCGCCCATTTGAGCTTGCCATGTACTCCCGTAGCAGCAATGTAACAATCTTGGTAGCAGCTGCTCAAATACAGGAACTCGTACACCCGGTGGAGGCGAGTAAACCGGGTTCATTGACGGGCTTGAGACCATCATCGGCGTTCCAGGAGTGCTTACACCCTTCGGAATCAGCACGCCAGTGTGTTTCGCCCTCGCAAAGATGAGAAGCGCCTCCGCAAAGACGTTTAAGCCCTGAAGAGCGGCCTTGGCATGTTGTCTGTTCTCGTCCATCAGAACAGCTACCAGAGCGTCCAGGAATATAAGAGGATCCAGTTCTTTCAAGCTCGAATGACTCCGAGATTTTGTTGGCAAGTCCCCCGCCGTTTGGCTCGACGAGGCAGCAGCGTTTCCCGAGCAAGATTCGACGTGGAAAAGCATTGCAAAGTGGCGGCAGATATTTGGCACATAGTCGTCTTTCGGATCTTGAAGATCGTTCTCCACGCTAGAGGCTATAACTGTTGTCAGAAGAACTTTAAATATACTTCTTTCAGCGACCAATTGAGTTTTTGTTTTAACGCCGAGATCGACCTGTACACAAATGCAACTTGAATAAAAATTTCTAAAACTCTACACAAAAGTACCTTCATATTTGAGACTTCAGCTCTTCGCTTTGATGGATCAACGGATGTCATGAGCATTGTACTAAGCTGGCCTGGCGTAACTCCTTCTTTACCAATATTTCCTTTGAGATTCAATACCGATGATAAGCAGACTCGCAAGAAATTCAAAGCATGCTTCCGATAGAAGGTGTCCACGCCGTGTGACTGCATCACGGCTGCTCTTGCCAAATAAATGCACCGGTCCAAAGGCACAAGAAACGAAGTGTTCGGCTCGAACGTCAGAATCAGTCGAAGTCCATGCTCCGGGTTTTCCTTGCATTCTAGTGCCAAAGGCTCCTTCAAAAACCTCCTGTTTCTTCCGCCGAGCTTCCCAAGTAACTGCAACGCCTTGGCACCCCATATGTATGGTTTAGGCCGGAGGTGTGACCACAGCGTGAGTATCAAGTCGGGTATCGCATTGGCCATGCTCGGCTCCAGAAACTCCGGATTCAGGCTGTCAATCCAGTACTCCAGTGTTCTGAAACCCAACGCAACAAGGTCGTCATTCCCCTTCAAAGCAAGTACCAGAGGTTTCATAAGACGTGGTAAGTGTGGCAGAAGCGAGCTTAACCGGGCCGGCATAGTCAGGCATAACTCCACTATAAGATCAGTCATATCCATGCCTGTGGGTCCTTCGATCATAGCCAGTAGCATATTGAGACACGGTTGTAACGTAGCAACGAACTCCCGAAATAAGAGCTCGAACTTTCCACCTGATAAAGCGCGAAACATAATTCGCATGAGCTGCATATATCCCAACGGCTTGTCCACTTCCGTAGCATTCTTCATGCATACTTCCATAAGGGTGAGGACGTGAGGCTGTAAAACCCTCTCGCAGTCGTTTGGATACTTCGCGACCGCAACAAATAGATATCTGAATAGCTGCAGCACGAGCTTGGCCTGGGGAGTATCCGGCTGCTTTAAAGTATCGAGCTTTCCCATAAGAAACTGTATCAACACGTCCGCAAAATGTCGTGTCAACTTCTGGTTCTGTAGCAGGTTTGAGAATATCTGAAGGAGCTGGTTGTTGGCCAGAGTGTACTCAAATAACCGTGGCATACATCTTGAAAACAGGTCCATGAGATTCCGGGGTTCCATCACTCCAAAAACGGATGTGTAGTGCGTGAACATATCCTTCTCCTCTTCTTTGTCTTTGTAAAGAGATAAGCAAAACACTCCAGTTGTAAGGATCCCCGAAGCGGCTAGAACCTGTACGAACCAAATTCAAAGAATGGAATGTAAAATTGGATGCTAACCTCGTCCTCTCGCATGCCTTTGGGCCCGCCTGCGTTGACAACTGCACCTTGAGGCTGCTGCATCGACACTTGAGTGGCTGTGAAATTTGTGATGCTCCATATTAGAGTTTTCATTCCTGTATCGGAGCAAATAAGAATGACATCCAAGAATTAAAAACCCTTGTAATACCCATTATTAATGTTTTGATAAGCTGTTTGCAGTCCGCAAAATCTTTCGCATGTTCTTGAGGCGTTTGAAGATTCAACGCAGCCTGTTCAAAAAGAAGCACCACGTTAGATGAGGTAATGCGGGAAGATACAACCTGAACAGGAAGCTCTAGCTTGGTTCTGGTACTGAAGTCGTTACGTTCAAGCTACACACAGAATCCAATATAAGTATCTTCCGTAATATACACTTGATCGTCACCTGTGAAGCATAACGTTTGAGTGTTGAGAATTTACTCACAAAGGCATCCAGAATCCGTCCCTGTAACATGCGGTTCAATACCAAACTGACATTTAGAATGTTACCAGTAGTTTTCTGCCATCTTCTTTGCTTGGGTCACCACGACGACTGTATATGGTCTCAACCTGAGTATTTTTAAAAACCAGATCAAAGAGGATAAAGAAAACTCATCCATTCGACTTACCAGGTTAAGCATAAGACGAACGCAGGTGGTTTGTACACCTAGCGGTAAGGAAGGGTCGTGCACATTTCTTGAAAACATATATACAATCAAAGAAAGCTATAGAAAAACACAGACGGTGAAAACAAAGACGCAAAGGCTTTCCACACCAACCTGTTTAAGTGTCAGTTCGAGTCTAACGTGGTGAATGAGTTCGGCTAGTATACTGTACGCCAAAGGCCGAAGTCCCTCAAAGCATGCTCGACCTGTTCCTACAAGAACTCTAAATGCACGACCCCTGTTATGCGAAGAATAATCATGAATGTGCAGACCTTTCATCTAATAGCTTGTCCATCAGAGGAAACAACCCTCTTTGAAAATCAGTGGCCAAAACATGACGCGTAGCGATTAGAAGTTCCTGTAAGCAGCGTAAGATAGTGAGATACAACAATGGGGGTGTAAAATTTTTGATAGACCAGACCTTTCGGATGGTGACTGAGTCAGGACACGAGATTAACAAGTTCACAATACTTCTAGACATACTCTCTTCATGTGGACGGATAAACTCGGCAAAGCTCTTCAGCAAGTAGCACAAAAAAGATACTGTCTGCCAAGAGAAAAACAAGCACTTAACCCCCAGAAAAAAAAAATCACAAGAAATACATACCTTCACTTGACCCGCTTTAAGGTCCACAAAGTGACCCTTCATCGTCGGATGAACCTGGTGTGGTGCTGGTCCTGGCACTGCGATGGCATTAACCATGAGCGGAAGAAGAACAGGAATGTTGCTCGGAACATATCGCGGATAGATTTGGAAGAGGTACATGACGATGAGCGGGCACTCCGAAAGTATTTTAAACGATCGCGTACTTGGATTCAGTTGCCCAGAGATACTTCCCCTTTGAGATCCCACAAAGCCAACGTTCTGTGGAGCAGCCGCGGCGGCGGCGGCAGCGGCAGCAGCAGCAATTTGGACATCACTGTTGGTCTCTTCAAAGAAGTAGCTTACGGTGCTCTTGAAGTTTTGATAAACCTGGCAAACAAAACCAGCCAAAGAAACTCTTTGAAGAAGAAAAAAATCTCTCCGCATACCTTGCAAACGAAATCGAGGAAAGGCTGCACGTCCGCCTCCAGCGCCGGGCGGAAGTTCTTGTGGAGATCAAAGATGATGCGCATACAAATGAGCCCATTCTCTTCGTTGTCCGTGCCGAGAACTTGCATCGACAGCTTCAAGAGATCGGAGACGAAGGGCCGGATGACCTCGCTGTGCGGCAGCCGGTTGAGAATCTCGATAATCACAAACCGGAGCTTGTGCTCGATGGAATCGCTGGTCTGGGGCTTGGTGGTGCTGAGAAGCAGCGACGAGAAGACCCGGAAGTAGTTCTTGAGGAAATTGAGGTACTCGGATGTCTGGACGATCTCGATGCTGTCCCGGACCTCGGTGGCGAGCTGATGCCGCTGCTGCATCGCTGAAAATTTCCACGAATCAAGAGAAAATCCAAGAGAAAACCGATGCGCGTACACAAGTCTGGGTCCAGGAACTTGCTGGCATGCTGCTCGAAGTTGTTGATCGGGATCATCGCGCTCCCCCGTCCTCCTCCACCCGGGCGGAAGACGAAAACCCTAGCTCCGATTAAACCCTAACATTTAATTCACATTTAGGCTAAGCCAGGAGGCCAGGGCGATGGTTTCACAGCGGCTTGAAGTAAGTGGAGTCGGGATCTCCGGCCATTTTCTCCGGGTAGCTATCGGCCCAGGCCTGGAATTCATATCTACGCTTGCGCCGCTCGCTCTCTGGGAGAGTTTGGACATCCTCCGTGACGAATTCGGGCAGCTCGGTGCCCTCGGCCGCGAATGCCTGGAATCTCGTCATGCGAGGGATTCTCAGCTCCTCAAACCTGCGTAGCGGGGATGGATCGATCAGCTCCAGAGGTATGAATGAGAGAAAATCCTTCCTTACCTTGCAATGGCTCTCTTTCTTTCCTCACCGGTTGCTATTGCTGCTGCCAGGAGCTCTGATAGCTGGTGTGCGTCTTCAAACGCTGTTCTAGCGCCTTGTCCGGGACCCCAATGCATTGCATGAGCCGCTGGAAAGGAGAAGAAGAAGAAAACAAAAGTTTCTCGACAAGCTTTCGAAGAAGCCGAGTGACTGACCGTCTCCAATGAGAAGAACACGCCCGTCAAGATCGCTCCAAGACTCGAGTGGTGGATTGTCGATGATCCTCCGCTCGTAAATCAGCTCCGGACTCGTCGCTTCCACGGCGATTCTCAGTGGCTCCCAGACTTCCGGTGGCTCCAACTTTCGGATTTCTTTGAGAGCTCGTTCTTTGGCAGGAGGGCCTCCAAATGCACCACCAGTCGGGATGTCTTCGTTGTGCATCCGGACCACCCACAAGGTATAGTCTTCGCCTGTAAGTAAATACGCATGATCCACTTGTATCTTCTCCTCTAAACTTTAGTGTTTTCGCAGAGAGCCAGTTACCTGAGTCCGCGAGATGAACGAATGTTGCGTGGTCCTTGATCATGAAAATCTGATCCTTCTCGTGGACCTTGAAGAACCTGGTCGTATGTCCAAGGTAAGCTCTACTGTTGCCGGTAAATTCACTTACTTGGAATCGGGATTGTAGACGAGAGCGTTCCAGTTCATCAGGTGCAAGTCCCTGGGTTTATCTCCCACCATGATCTTCCTCACAGCGGAGTGGACTCCATCTGTTCCAATCACCAAATCGGCATGGATTGTCTTGCGAGAAGTCCGGCCTTGATCATCTCGAACTTCAAACTCCAACTCGACTTCATCCTGTGTAAGTCAGTTGTATGATTTGTATGCTGTCTCTCACTCACTTCCTTGCCTTATCTTTTGCAGCACTGTAGGAGACGAGTTTGTGCGAGCAGTGAACGTTAGAACTGGGAACCATGTCAGCCAACATCTTTCGTGCTTTTCTCCAAGGTACCATAAACACCGCCGGGATTTCTCCTTCCTTCATCTCAATCTCCTGCTTCTCGCCACCAGTAATGTCAAGGATTCTAAAGCTCTTTATCTGCGTTCCTGCAGATTTCATGGCCTCCTCGAGCCCCGGATGGATTCCGTCCAGAGCTCGCCCTCCTGCGAAAAATCTTACAGCTCGAAACAATGGAAGGTAAGAAAAAAAGGTACCATTCTTTCCAATACTTATCCCTGTAGCAGTATCCGCTCGAATCCCATCACTCTTTTCAAACAAGTGAGCGGTGATTCCTCTGTTCTGCAGGCCAATCGCGAGCGCCAACCCGCACAGCCCTGCTCCGATTATCGCGACGTCCACAGATTCCATCGATGAAACAAAGAAACACTGGTCGAAATTTCTAGAAAGCAGTCTTTTCCACGCAAAGCGAACGTACCCGTGCCAGTCTTCCAGATGGCACACGTCACCTTCCATATATTTAATAGTATCTTCTCATCTTAACTTGGTCTTAGCTTTTCACTCGGTTTATCTTTCTAGAAAGTCGGCAGCGAAGCAAGCAAGAACCTCAGCGAGGCGCGGTGCTCTAAAAGATCGGTTTTTGGGCCTCCGGGGCTTTGAGGGAATTCTTCGATCGAGAGAGGATGGAATCGAATGGGCTGAGCTGGGCGGATCAGTGGGACTACAAGATGAACGACAAGGAGCGAGCGGAGCAAATGAAGATGGACAAGAGCAGGAGCAAGGAATCGTCGTCAAACAAGGGCGCTAAGATCAAGGCGGCGGCGAGCCAGGGAGTGGACAAGGCTAAGATCGTGGCTGCTGCTAGCGCGAACAAGATCAAGGCAGGCACCTCCACTGGAATTCACTGGATCAAGGATCAGTACCAAAGGAGGAAGGCAGCCAAATGATAGAACACCTCCTGCGCGAGATTTATAATTTTGTGTGATTCTTTTGTATAGAACCATTCTTCGTGTTCTTCGTGTGTATGTATAATTGAAAAAAATCGCTCCCTCGTCTTTGTGGCCATGATCTAGTGCGCAAATTTTGATTTTGAGGCTAGTCAATGAAAGCAGATTGCCGAAAACGAAGGGAAGAATAAAGTATTGTCAACGAATCTGTAAGAATAACTGGGAAAGAAACAAAAAACTGGTATGAGAATGAATTATTAATCCGTCACCATTACAAAAACGATGCCATTTTGGTTGGTTGATCCGCCGCAGAAACGCGTTGCTTGCCTCCTTTTTCACTGCTTGCCGATCACGTCCTCGATCAAATCGGCAGCGTCTTGCACGGTGACAATCTTCTCGGCTCCCTCCTCGCCCAGGCTGATCTTGAAGTTCTCCTCGAGTTGCATCATCACCTCAACCTTTGGAGACGAGACCAATCTTCCCAGTTAGAAGACGAAGAGAAGGAGCTACTAAAGATCCATTACCGTGTCGAGCGAGTCGGCTCCAAGATCAGCGAACTTGGCGGCCGGAGTGACGCTGGACTGCTCGATCGAGAGCTGACTGGCGATGATCTTCTGGACTGTAGCAAGAGTCTCTGGCTTTGCCTGTGAAAGAAAAGAGAATCACACACTCAAGAACTCACAATCACCTGGAGAAAAAAATCCAAGAGATAGAAGTATACCGCGCATGAGATGAGGGAAAGACACCGCTTGCTTCTCAAGGCAATGGCGCTGGGCTTGAATCCGACCACCGGGGAAGCTCTTCCAAGGGATCCGACGCTAGCGACGGGCACGGCAGGCACCATGGAGCAGGATCCAGCGACAGCGGCCATTGCTAGAGCACCAAAAGCAGGAAAACAGATCTTAGGGCTACCTCGCTCGATCGATCGATCGATCGGCGTCACAATCTTACCAGAGCGAGACGAGATTACTCCGAAATGCGGAAGGAAATGGCTCGCGGATGCCGCGTGGATCACGAAGAACTGCGAGAGAGGGCGCCTCAAACCCTGGCTGAGAGCTCGGATTATATGGAGGAACAAAGCTCTTGACGGACCATCCAACCCAAAGAGCATGCAAAAGCGAGAATAGAGGACGAATCTCCACCGCAAATGGAAACTAGGGCATCCTGGCCGTCCAATCCTAAACAACCTGTTTGGAGTCTTAATCAAATACGAAGATTCCCTCCACTGAGGTTTAGGGTTTTACTCCATTCTAGGTTCTCTCGGAATGCGGATGCTCCAGCAGCAAGCGACGATGCCCTCCTCCGGATTGGCACCTCCTCCAGCTCGCATTTTCTCGCCCGGCTCCTGGCGCCTCTGCTCGATCAAGCGATCCATCGCGGTGAGAGCGAAATCCACTGGCGTCGATACCCTGTCGCCCGCTTCCAAGTCGATTTCTTCCGGTATGTTCTGAATCCAATCTCGATCCTCTCGCGAATTTGGCATAATCTTGCAGATCGTCGCTCCTGGGATCCTACTCTCAGTGATGCCGATCCCGAGATGTTTAAAATCATCGGATCGGAGAGGCAGCGGCAATTCCGTGGGTTGGAGCTCATTGCCTCAGAGAATTTCACGTCCCGAGCTGTGATGGAAGCTGTTGGTTCGTGCTTGACAAACAAGTACTCGGAAGGGCTTCCTGGGAAAAGGTTTTGCCTCGCTCTTTTTTTTTTGGCTTGAAGTTTAACGAGTTGTGGATAGGTACTACGGTGGCAATGAATACATTGATGAAAGCGAGACTTTATGCCAGAAGAGAGCCCTCCATGCTTTCAACCTTGATCCCGTTAAATGGGGTGTTAATGTCCAGCCGCTGTCTGGCTCGCCGGCAAATTTTGCAGTCTACACAGCGCTTTTGCGTCCCCATGACCGTATTATGGTAGCTCACCAAACTGCGAGTTTTTTCTTGTTCTGTTTGACTAACTCATTTGTTCCGTGTTCTTCTTGTTAGGGACTAGATCTTCCACACGGCGGACATTTGTCCCATGGCTTTATGACCGAGAAGAGGAGAGTGTCAGCAACATCGGTGTACTTCGAATCCATGCCATATCGCCTCAACGAAGCAACAGGTGCGTGCGGCAGCTTTTCCGTGGATCCCTTCATTTTCAACTTGGCTTGGTCAATTGCACAGGTATAGTGGACTACGATAAGCTCGAAGAAAATGCTGCCGTGTTCAGGCCAAAGCTTATAATAGCTGGCGGTAGTGCTTATCCAAGGGAATTCGACTATGCCCGGATGCGGAAGGTTCGAATTTTCCAGTTGATTCTTCAAATGAGATTAAACTATCACTTGATAGGTGGCAGACAGCGTTGGTGCCTTCTTGATGATGGATATGGCTCATATCAGCGGGCTCGTGGCTGCGGGTCAACTTGCAAACCCTTTTGAGTATTGTGATGTGGTTACAACTACTACTCACAAGGTTGATTGCAGCTTATAGATTTCTCTGACGTATATTGCTCACCGGTGCTTTTGCAGTCTTTAAGGGGCCCTCGTGGAGGAATGATATTTTTCAGGAAAGATCCAGTTTTGGGGCTGGACTTGGAAACCTCTATAAACAATGCAGTATTTCCGGGTCTGCAGGTGAGCGCTGCTTGTCTCGGGAATGGCATTTTCTTACTCAGTTTATCCAACAGGGCGGGCCTCACAATCACACCATTGCTGGACTGGCGGTGTGCCTGAAGCATGCTGCAACCGAAGAATTCAAGCAGTATCAAAAGCAGGTACCAACTTTCAACTTGCCGGAGAGAGCCGTTTCAAAGTGTGGTGTTTGTTTTAGGTGATTGCGAATTGCCAAGCGCTTGCAAAAACGTTGGTGGACTTGGGATTTACGCTCGTGTCTGGCGGAACCGAAAATCACCTAGTCCTTGTTGATTTGCGTCCTCTGGTAAATTGCACTTTTGACCCGTGCTTTGGTACGCTACTGACTTGGCGCTGTGGTGTCCAGGGAATTGACGGTGCCAGGGCTGAAAAAGTCCTGGATCGTGCTTCCATCACACTCAACAAAAACTCTGTACCAGGTTTGACGTTGCGATTGATACGTGGATCCTCCTAAAATCACGGCCTTGCTTAGGGGACAAGAGTGCGTTAGTTCCAGGCGGTGTACGCATCGGCACACCCGCATTGACAACGAGAGGACTCAAGGAAGATGACTTCATCAAAGTCGCGGGATTCATTCACGAAGGCGTCCAAATCGCCCGACAGCTCAAGGAAACAGTAAAGCAAGGGAAAATGAAAGAGTACGTCCAGGCACTCGAATCTCAAGACTCTCCGGTCCAGGCGAGCATAGCTGATCTACGAAACCGAGTGGAAGCGTTCGCCAAACAGTTTCCCATACCTGGAGTAGGCACAGAAGAGCTAGTGCATTGACTCTAACGTTCTGGTAAAGGTATGTGTGGAGTGTGTGTCCGGTAAGAGGCTTCCAACGTGTTACTCTTGTTAAGGACTTCCATCCTCGCTCGCATCTTCGTTTTCCTTCGTGGCTAACCTTTCTTTTGACCGCCAAAGTATTTGTACAAGCCGTATCCAGCAGCCAAAGCAACGAACAAGCCTATGGTGGGGGTGAAAGACGGGTACACGGTCTTGACGAGAAACTCATCCCACTCCTCGGGTAAGAAGCCTGCATTAAGCATTTGTTATCGGATTAACCATCTTATCTTGATAGAGTTGCGATGGAGGCGAGAGAAGTAGAAAGCTCTACTTACCAGAAGCTGCAAGTGCGAGACCCTCGAGGATGACAACACCGACGAGGCCGAGCAAGGTAATCTCGGCGATCGTCTCGAGCTGCTGGGTTTGTGGATCAGGCGGCGGAGCTACGAATGGTTTTGTCGGAGCAGGCCTTCTTCGAATTCCGGAAGAAGAAGACGTATCAGGTACTTCACCAGGTGGATTCGGGGATTTAGAGCTCTTTTTCTTGGGAGAAGTGGATTGGGATTCCCCAAAGCCAGTGCCTGGTGGCTTCTTCTTGCTGGATTTCTGGAGGATTGGCTCTGGCTCTTCAGTGGAGAGAGCTCTCGCTGCTAAATCTCTACTTCTTTGGGATTTTAGAGACCTGGAAGTGGAGCTCTTGAAGAAAGGAGCTATTGAGCTGCTACTAAATCCACCGCATGAGACACATGTAAGAGAAGAAGATGGCATCCTTGTTTTGTTCCTTCTTCCACAGCTCTATCTTTTCTTTTTCTCTTCGCATCGCATTTGGTCCGGGGTTCAATTCCTGTCCATAGTGAAATCGTTAAAACAAATCGCAGCCGTTGGTGCTAGGGCTTTTGGTTATCGTCCGGGCGCTAGGGTTTTGTGGAGGCGCTGAGGTTTGCGGCCGGCGATCACGCGCATCAGAGGTAGGCGCGCTGCTCTTGCGCTTTGGTATGAAATCTCCTCTCTTTCTCCTCCTCTTCAGTGCAAGATGGTGCGCGCCAGCGTCCTCAACGATGCCCTGAAGACCATGTACAATGCGGAGAAGCGTGGCAAGCGCCAGGTCTTGATCCGCCCCTCGTCGAAAGTGATCATCAAATTCCTCGCCGTGATGCAAAAGCACGGTAAGATCTTCGCGAATTCCTTTTGGTCGTTTCTTCATCCTTTTGCGCATCAGGCTACATCGGCGAGTTTGAGTGGGTCGACGATCACAGATCCGGGAAGATCGTCGTCGAGCTAAACGGCAGGCTCAACAAGTGTGGAGTCATCAGCCCGCGCTACGATATCAGCGTCAAGGAGCTCGAGGCCTGGACTGCTCGGCTTCTTCCATCTCGCCAGGTTTGATTTTGAGAGACGAATCGATGGCTTGGTGCAAAGAACTAACGATTTTCTCTTCGATCTCTGGCTCAGTTTGGCTACATTGTGCTGACAACATCGTCTGGTATCATGGATCACGACGAAGCGAGGAGGAAGAATGTTGGTGGCAAGGTCCTCGGCTTCTTCTATTGATGCAAGCAAGCTTTCCCGAAGATCAGAAAACCTATGGTACACACCTGTGCTCTCTCTAGCCGAGCACAGTCGACGTTGTATTTCCAAATTTTGTGAGGCTTGCGTTCAACTTTTTAACTTCACATTTTGGGTCTTGTTTTCTTCTCTCACTTTTGTCGCTCCAGAGTTTCTAAGCTAGAGAATCTCGCGACGCAAGCATCTGACGAGCGTAAAGTTTTTCTCAAAGATTTCGATCTCGTTAACAAGCGCCTTGTTTCTCCCTTGATTTTTTCTTTTTGTCGGCAGGAGTATGGAAAGATCGAAGACTATTTCTACGCGGATTTCCGGCTGACACGATTCGAACTCTCCCGTGAGTCAAGCACGTCCATCTCAGAGGTGGGGCGCTCTCTTGCGCAATGCTTTTTGGCTGTTTGGATTTCTTGGATCTGCTATTCGTTTTCTTTGCCCTCTGTCTCTCTTTTCTCTCCTTTCCTTCCTGATGGTGGTGTTGGGTGTGACAGGAGCGCGCGAGGAAAGGAGCCGTGTACACAGTGCAGTAGGAGAGCAGCGTGCGAAAGCCATCTCGATGATTCATCAGAGCCACACAAGAGAAGCGAGAGGAGGTAAGTTAGACCAGACTAAAACTCTTCCGGTCCGAATTCGTATCATTGTACGAGTTCTTCGCTTTGCAAATCTTTCACGCGTGGAACAGCTTTAGTTTTTTTTGTATTTTTCCTCCGTTTTCAATCCTTTCTCTTCTGAGTTTGCAGGAAGGGTAGGTTGATCACAGGACTGGCCTGGAACTCTGGAAGATCTGGAACAAAAGGATTGTTGAACCCGGCCAGGTTTGTACGGGTTTGCTCGCCCAGGAATTCTAATTCTTCCTTTTCCCAGGTCAATTATCTCCACGAGTTTGGAGTTTGGCCGGACTTGGAAAAGCTTGGATCCATCCGAACGCTCTCACGCATTTCGTAAACTCCAGGCAGGGAGTTTGTCCGCTTCGCTTCGCGATGTGTATCCCATCACTCGCTGGGTTCGTTTGGATGGTTTCTCGGATCAAACAGCTCTTGTTGGATGCATCAGGCATTTTCTCGGACAATCCCAATCTTTTGTCCGCAGGTCGAAGGTTTGGTTTGTTTTTTTTTTTTTTTTTGCCCCCTTTGGATTTCTCCACGCTAAAGGGGTGTTCCCGTGTGATATCCAGATCTCTCTCGTGTCAGCTCGACAATGAATCGCGCCTCGCGACGACGTAATCAAGGAATTGAAGGGGACGGCCGCTGTTTGCGATGGCACGCACCAAATCGCGCGCAGCAAGCACCATTTTTTAACTCCCCGTGAAAACAACGGGGAGCGAATATTCCTCCACGCTGGAAAAACAAACAAAGGGATGAGATACGAGCTACGTACGCATGTACGCAAACAGGGCACATGTAGATACGGGACATATCTCGCCGGGCCAATGGGAGAGCGCCATTTGATTCGGGGCCAATCACACTGTCGGCCTCAAGATCCGCTTTACATTCTCCGCCGGCGGCGGCGTCACGCGCGGCATATTCCGGCCGGCAGCCGGCATATTCACCCACCGCGAATGGACAGGTTGGATTACCCTTATATTAAGCGCGAATCTCCCACATGGTTTGGAAGGGGGAAATGTTTGTTTGGCATTAATGCGGGCAAGGATACAAAGATTAGGTCGTGAGCGTTTGATGTTCCACATGGAAGGATGAACTGGCTATTCTCGTTGCGTTATTTTTATTTAATTGCTGGGCGCGAGGGGACAGCCAGCCCTATCCCTATCTCGATTCGGCATGTGGTGGCCTTGTAACAGACAAAACTGGCTAAGATTTGTCTATGTCCATTTTTAAGGGGAAAGATAAAGGTATCGCGGTATACATTAAAATAGACGGGGATCCAGTTTAAAAAACCCTATTTTCTCTATTTGCAAAGAAAACGCGTGATGATCTATTCGATCTTAGTGTCTGGGTGGAGTTCCTTGTTTTCGTGGGCATCGATGACGATTCTTTTGATTCCATCCAAGTTGCTTCGTGTGAGTGTGTGTCGTTATACTGGAGAGATCTTCGATTTACTAAAGCACAAGGAGTCTCAACAAACTACGCTTGCTGCGAGATTGATCGATCGACCACCCGGCTGATCGAGACATAGACGAGACCGACGTTTCACCAAACATGATTTTTACCGCCTTGTTTTTTACCACTCCTCGAATCCGGCGCAAACGAAAATTATAATACAAAGGCCGATAACAACACACACGATTTCTCAAAACTGCGCATGATTTGGAGAGAGATGCCAACACTGAATTATCATGTTGGCTTGTTTGAGTAGTTTGTTTGGTTGGCAGCTTTGACCCGCGCCCTAGCCACGGAGATTATTCCGTTTGGATATTCTCCGGAGATCACAGGCGCAGGAAGACAAGGGAACCTTTGAGATCGTGTAAAAGCCAGCAAATCTAGAAGACAAGCGATCCAAGACCTAGCGGGAAATCATCACACCGCCACCGCCACCACATTGATCCACCACTATTCACTTGCACATCAGGTCAATCAATCCCTCTGGCGTGATCATGATACACGAGAATATAAGAGCTGCAAACGCAAGCAAGGAGGAGTCACTAGATAGATCCCATGAGCCAGAAAAGAAAGGAAAAAAAGTAAAAGAGGGGAGGACTTGTTCTTGACAAGAGGAGACGACCCAATCTCCCGGGTCCACAGTTTTGGGAGCATTCACTCATAAAAAGACCACCAAGAAGGGGAAAAATATCTATACATCCAAAATGCCCCCTTTTTTTTGGTGTTTCTCAAACAAATCCTATGATCCACCACCCCCTCCACCACCACCACCACCACCATCTCTTTGTTCCTCCAGTGGGGCATGGCCAACAGCATTTATATAATATTTACAACAACATTTACAATATTTGCTAGAATTTCATACCAGCAAACAGTTCTTCGCAAGTTGCAATGGTCAAACCACACTCACATACACACACACACAAGAGAAGCTATGGAGGAAGATCCCCCTTTTGCATAAACAAGAGAACTAGTATCCTATTATTGAGTTTGTTATTATGGAGTTTGTTAGAAATCGTGTTATAAAGTTAACATTCTCCGGATGTGTACAAGGCTCCATATAGAAATTGTAAATCTAATCTATCTCTCATACACAACCAGTGTGTCAGCTTTGCAATACGATTGTGAGGCCTTTGAGAAATAGATAGATATGCATACATGCAACTATTTAAAGGAAGGGGGGAAGAGCATATTCCAGTGGCACCTAATCTATCCGGATAATCTGAATTCATGCGCATATTCGGTTTGTTGTGGACCACGCAAGATTCTCGCGGGCAGGGGGCACGTGGCGGCCTCCGAGTGGTACAGCGGGGTTGCGGTAGAAACGACGTGCGTTACGGATTTTACCCGGGATCATCCTTGGTGGTAGGAGGAGACGAGGAGGGGAAGAGCGTGAAAACAAATCATTTTTTTCCCGGTGCTAGCCTAGAGTTTTTTACCCTCCCCCCCCAGCGTTGAGAAAGATTCGCGGTGCCAGCTCCAATTTAGGGCAGTGATTAGGGCTAAGAGAAGATCGTTCGGGCAGAGTAAGAAGAAGACGAGAAAGAGAGAGAAAAAGAAAATGGGGGAAGGAGGAGGAATGAATGCCGTGTGCGTGCGTGCGTGTGAATGAAGGAGGTGTGGTGGTGTTCTTCCGGAGCTAGGAATCGCGAGGAAGCCGCGACGCGCGGGATGCATTGACCGTGGCAGATGGATTCGTCCCCGCCGCCGCGACTGGGAAATATTTCGAGATCTTTCTTGTAGCTAGGCGGCGAGGAAGGCGCTGCGCCGCGGCCGCGCTGCTGCCAATCAATCAATCAGGCTTGCGACGATTGATTCCTCGATCCGGAGCTTGTGGACGGCGAGCGGCGAGAGAGAGATTCTGGCCTCTAGGCGCTCCGGCCGTGGCATTCATCCATCCCTTGGAAGAACTCCTCTCTTTCTTGTCATTTCCTGGCCGCGCCTTACAGTAATCGCCACACATGCGGTGTTCCCGAAGAAATTCCACGCATGCTGGTGACTTTTCTTCTTCGGCTCCTCGCCACTGGCTGCTTCTTCTCCGCATCTTCTTCCAGTCCTTGGCAGTAGAAAGAATTGGCAACGGCGCGCCTTGGATTCGGGGCCCCGAGATCTAGAGATCTTTCCAAGAGATCAAGCCACGGGAGCTCCAGATCTACCCAGCGAGCAGCCGTGTTCTTCCTCTCTTTATCGATGGCAGGGACAGCGCCATATCTCCGCTGTTATTCCATTCGCTGTTCTTCCGTGGAGCTCTTCTGGGTAAAGCGCTTGGAATTCTTCTCTTCGCCATGCACAGGTCTGAAAGAAAAATCTATTTTTCTTCCCTTCTTCCTCTTTGGTGTGGTGTGGTGTGGTGGTGTGTGTGTGTTTTTTTTTCCTTTTCTTTGTTTTATGCTTGTTCTGAGCACCATGTTTTGGATGGAAGCAGGGGATTGCGGCATTTGTGTGTAGGAGACGCGAGAGGTGGAAGGCTTGGATATGGAAATGGAGATGGTCAGGAAGATTATCCTCGAGCAGGAGGCCCAGTTCCGCCAACAGGTCAGTCAGATCTATCCATTTTGCGCAAAGTGAGGCGAGATGTTCTCATGGATGGTGTTCGTCTCCTTGCGCAGGTCCAGGAGCTCCACAGGGTCTATCGTGTCCAGAAGCTGCTGCTCCAAGACCTCCGGCCGCCTCGCGCGATCGACAGCTCGAGGCTGGAATTGGCATCTGGCTACGATTGCAGCGGCAAAAAGAGTGATGCCAAGCCCCGGCGGAGGACTTTCGACTTGGAGCTGCCAGCCGAGGAGTACATGGATGTGGAGATGGAGGAGCCCAGCAGCAACGCCACCACCACCACCACCACTGCCAACAACAACAATAACAGCAGCGCCGCTTGTGATTTGGTGTCAAGGCTGAGCGCTGCCGCGGCTGCCACTGCTGCCACTGCTGCTCCAGCTCCAGCCATGAACAGTGTGAAGAATCTGGATTCGTCAGCGGCTGTTCATGAGAAAGTGGGCTCGCAGCAGCAGATCGGCTGGAACAGCGGCCGAGACGGAGAGAGTGAGATCTTCCAGATGATAAAGCGTGCCAAGAGCTCGG